GCCGCGAGCGGAGGCTCCGCGCCTCTTCCTTAAAGCGTATCTCAAAAGGGCGCGTTTGCATCAAAAAGTTGTCAACTACAAAAACGAAGCCTTATAACTGTTTAATGCACTGGTTTTTGAATCATTCAAAAATGTGAGTTTTGAAGAAAGTTATACTCAAAAACCCTCTCTAATTTAACTTAAATGTTTAAACGCCTACAAAAGCACTTTAAAATTTTTCAAATCTTCTGAAATTAGGATAGTGTACTAAACAAGTTATGAGCTTCATTTTTGTAGTTGACAACTTTTTGATGCAAACGCGCTCTGACGAGATTCGAGACGTGGAAAGTGCGCGCCTCTTTTGGCACCACCCTTTTGCCGCGTGAGGAGGCTCTGCGCCTCTTCCACGCGACGTATCTTATCAGGGCGCGTTTGCATCAAAAAGTTGTAAATTACAAAAACGAAGCTCTATTATTTTTTAGTGCATTATCCCAATTTGAGAATATTTGAAAAAGTTTGAAGTGCTTTTGTAGGCGTTTAAACCTTTTTGAGTATAACTTATTTCAAAATTCGAATTTTTGAGTGATTCAAAATGTTGAAAAATTCCAAAAATTCAGAAATTTCAAAAAATGATTTCAGATCGATGAAAAAACGAAACAACAGCTCGTCTATGCGACATTAATTCCACCGAAAGGGTGCATTTTCGAAGGAGGCACTTATTTTTTGAAAATCGCATTTTATGTGCATCCGAAGTTTAATTATGTGCTTCCGCATGTTCAGTTTAGGACGATGATGTTTCATCCGAATCTTTCGAAATATGGAGCGGTGAGTAGTACTGTAGGGTTACTGTAATTAGATATAAGTAATGGTAGACGTACGGCAGGTCTGATTTAGGATGTGTTTTTGTGAGATTACTGTAGGATTATTATAACTTTATGATGTTCTTATAGCCAGGCGATTACTGTAGGAGTAGGAGCTTTAAAGAAGTTACAGTAATCGTGTTAGGATTCCTGTAGGGTTATTGTAGTTTGAAGAAGTATTGGCGGGATTACTGTAGAATTACTGTAGGTACGCATAATTACAGTAGTACATTTTCAGTTTGACGTACGTCAACTAATCGATTCCACGTGGAATCACAAATCGTCACTAGCCGACGTCTACAAGTGGATCGTCGAACAGATGGTGGATTTAAAGAGAATAATAGGTAGCTCTTTTTTTAAGCTAATGTATCTCGGCTCCTGTAAGAGATATTAAAAAGTGGTCAACTAATAAAATGTTGGAAATTTTATAAAAAACATTTCATCAGTTGACAACTTTTTGATATCTCTGATAGAAACTGAGATAAATTGGCTCAAAAGTGCAAGCAGAGGGTGGCGTTCTACAGTCGGTCATTGGGGTGCGATCGCGTAGCTCAGTTATCTCGACTCCTTTAAAAGATATCTGAAAGTGGTCAACTGATAAAATGTTTGAAATTCAATGATAAAAATTTTATCAATTGACTGTTTTTTGATATCTTTTGCAGGAGCCGAGATAAATCAGCTTAAAGTTGACACACATTGAAAAAAGGTTTCTTTGGATTCTTGGAATTTCCAAAAAAGTAATAATTCAACATCTGAAATTTTCAGCCACCAAACCACAGAATCAACTAGAAGACATGGCGCAACCGGATATCGCTATTTTAGCATCTGAAAATTGGAAAATTTTTGAAAAAATCGCACGGGAAATGGTGATCAAAATGGCTGGCGGTTCATCGCATCAATCCTTATTTCATTCGGCAAAAATGCGAAAATATTATTCCGAAGAGTACGGTTATATGAATCCAGATGATAATGATGAAATTGATATCTTTAATTGATTAATTAGATGTGCAATTGTATTTATTGATTTTTGTCTAAATTTGATCTCTATGTTGTATATATTTTCTTGTTTAAATGAATAATACTGATTGTATTTATCACAAAGTTTTCAGGAATCCAGAAATTCAGAAAATTCAGAGAAATCCAAAAAATAGGAAAAAGTAAAATTACACACTCTCACTTTTCCTCTTCCTCCCCCCTCTTCTTCCTCCCCCGCATCTCTCCACTACATAAGCGCCCTCATGCCATCTAATCAAATGTGGCCGCGTGGCGCAATGGATAACGCGTCTGCCTACGGAGCAGAAGATTGTAGGTTCGAATCCTGCCGTGGTCGAAAACTCTTTTGGCTGTTTTGTTTTGTGTTTACAATACACAATGGCTTAATTTTTCTGTGATAAACTATGCAATTTAAGTACCAATGGTGCTCAATGACCGAAGTGAATTTAGAGCGCACTTGCACATCTTTATTGGTGGTCCCTTAACCTGTCAAAACATCAGAGAGACTATAGTACAAACAAATCTCTTCTTGAGCTCTTCTTCTTCTCCCCCCATTTATTGACCCATCCATTTCTCTCTCTAATAATTGACCCGTGTCTTTCTGCTGTCTCTATTCAAATATGCACCATTTATGGGTGTTGGAATCTCGTCTTCTTTTTCTTTTTGTATATGTTTGCACACGAACTAACTCTCTGCATACGGTAGGGCGGGTAGGGGGAACACTTTTGACCTCCTTCAGTCAGGTTTACCGGTTCTTCTTTACTAACTTTTTTTCTCTGTATTGTGGACCCATTTTAAAAGGATTGTCAGGATTCTTGTGCGAATTCCAAAAACCATGAAACTGCTCCTGAAGTTGTTATTGGTTCCTATGCTGTTGGGTAAGTCGGCTCTTTGACAAAATTTCAGCATCATTTTTAGGATTCTCCCAACCGGCAAACTTTGAGCCCAAATATCTCATTTCCTTTAATAGATATCAAAAAGTTGGCAACTAACGAAACTTTTATCAAATTATCAGTAATATTTTACTAGTTGACCACTTTTTGATATCTTTCACAGGAACCGAGATAATGCGACTCAAAGTTAAAAGCTTCTGTAAATTGAGCCAAAGTGTAGTTCAACTTTTATCTCGGTTTATGTAATAGATATCAAAAAGTTGTCAACTGATAAAATGTTGAAAGTTTTATTTTTTTATAGTTTGCTAATTGACAAAATTTTGGTACCATTTTTTTTCTAAAAATATGAAGTTTAATTTTTTTTTCAGATATCAAGATTCATGCGTTGCCCAGCAGTGGTGGCTATTTTCGGAATGAAGGTTGGTCATTTTCCTCAAACCTCCTTACTTTGAGATACCGTAAACACTCTAATAGAACGCCACCCAAACTTTCAACTTTGATATAGTTTATCTCAGTTTCTGTGAAAGATATCAAAAAGTTGTCAACTGATAAAATGTTGATGACATTATGACTAACACTTTGCCAATTGACCACTTTTTAATATCGTTCACAGGAAATGAGATAATTGAGCTCAAAATACAGGTATATGATGAGATACGCGGGCGCACCTTACCACTTGCCTTGAGCTCAATTATCTCAGTTCCTATAAGAGATATCAAAAAGTTTTCAATTGATAAAATATTTATTAGATTATCAGTAACATTTTATTGGTTGATCACTTATTGATATCTCTCATAGGAAATGAGATATAAAGGGTCAAATTTAACGAGATCAATGTTCCAGACCCCCACCTCGTCAACTCCACTCTCCCATCGCACCTCCCAACAACATCTGCTCCACCACCAACATCCTCAATTCCAATTCTGAAACCCGACACGTCATCACCATGTGATTTGATCGAAGAAGCGGCCGCTCTCCATTGTATTGGACCACTTGTCGACTATGCGGCAGATCTGTCGAACAACGTACTTCATCCGCCACTGAGTGCCGTTGAGATGACTTGTGACAAGTATAATCAGTATATGATGTGTACACAGGGTGTTCGACCAGATTGCAGGTATAAGCCCTAATGAGGGAAAATCGGGTCAAAATATTCGTTAAGTTTTTGAAAAATCTTTTAAAAAAATCTCAAAAACCTCTAATTTTAATGGTTTAAAAAATGGGTTAAAATTGGTCCAAACGCTCTGAAAGTTAGCAAAGTTTATAGATCAAAAATAGAGCTTCATTTTTGTAGTTGACAACTTTTTTGTACAAACGCGCTCTGATGAGATACGCTAGGTGGAAGAGGTGCGCCTCTTTCGGCACCACCCTTGGCGCTGTGCCTCCGCGCCTCTTCCACCCGGCTTATCTCCTTAGGGCGCGTTTGCATCAAAAACTTGTTAACTACAAAAATGAAGCTCTATAATTGTTTAGTGCACTGGTTTTTGAATCATTCAAAAATGTGAGTTTTGAAGAAAGTTATACTCAAAAACCCTCTCTAATTTAACTTAAATGTTTAAACGCCTACAAAAGCACTTTAAAATTTTTCAAATCTTCTGAAATTAAGAAAGTGTACTAAACAAGTTTGGAGCTTTATTTTTGTAGTTGACAACTTTTTGATGCAAACGCGCTCTGATGAGATACGCTAGGTGAAAGAAGTGCACCTCTTTCGGCGCTACCCCTCCGCACCATGCGTCGTATCTCAGCAGGGCGCGTTTGCAGCAAAAAGTTGTTCACAAAAACAAAGCTTTATAATTGCTTAGTATAATGTGCAAATTTGAATGTATTCGAAAAAGTTTAAGGTGCTTTCGTAGGCATCTAACCTTTAAAATCAATTTTTTTGGGTTTTTTTGGGTTTAACTTTCTTCAAAATGCGAATTTTCGAATGATTCGAAAACCAAACAATAGCTCAAATATTCATAAATTATAACTTTTCTAAAAAACGCACTGCTGAAGACAATTTGACAAAATTTTTCCGATTTTCGATCGCTACTTCTCTCCGGCGTGTGTTGTTGAGTGGCTCACGCTTCCGTTTGTCGTTGAATATGACTTTTAAGAATAATATATAATAATAACATTTACACACAGGAGTTTCTGTGTAAACATGGGGATAAGTACAGTACCGGACAAAAATACCAAATGTTTTGGCCGAGGGACCCAAAAAATTATAAGTTTTCAAGTTTAGGAGCCTACAAAGGCGTTCAAACCTTCTCAAATTTTTTGAAACTTTGCCAGAATTTTGCGTGAGACTAGAATTTTATTTTGTTAATTGACAATTTTCCTGTACAAACGCGCCCTAATGAGATATGCTACATGCCGCGCCAAGGGAGGTGTGCTTCCTTACATGGGGCGTATCTCATCAGGGCGCGTTTGCACAAAACAGTGGTCAACTAACAAAATGAAGCTCTATTTTTGATCTATATATTGTGAAAATTTGAATAAATTCGAAAAAGTTTGAAGTGCTTTTGTAGGCGCCTAAAGTTGAGAACTTTTTGACTTCAAATTTCTAAAAAAATCATATTTTTGACCGGTTTGAAAAGTGAAATTAGTTGTAAGAATCCCAATATTTTCAGACAATCTCGTGCGCCAAACATTGAATTCATGTACGAAACGATTTGTGAAGAGAAATTCGCGGCAATAATGAAAGAAGAGAAGGCATGCTTGTTGGAGGTTGAGAAGTAAGTTCTCTCTCTTTTTCCCCCTTTTTTCTCTCCGTCTCTTCTCCTCCCACACTCTCTCTTCCTTTTCTCCTCCAACATGCTGTGAATCATCTCTCTTCTCTTCTAACATTTTGGTTTGCAGTGACAAAAACGTAAAAGAGTGCTTTGTGAACAAGACGAACACACTGCGTGACGAGACGCCAGACACTGGTGAGTGTGCCCCCCTTTCCTATACGACAAACGTCACGCTGTGCAAATGTGGCTGAGTGGTCTAGTGGTATGATTCTCGCTTAGGGTGCGAGAGGTCCCGGGATCGATCCCCGGCTCAGCCCACTTACTTTTTTCTTCTTTTTTCAGTTATTATTTCCAACTTTTAACAATTTCAGTTCCCACCCCAACACAGAACTATGAGTGTACAGTAATCCAGGCCTATGTGGATTGTCTTATTGAACGGGAAGAAGCCACCTGTCGTGATGCGGTGAAGATTGAAATTTCGTTTTTGTCAATGCTCGCGAAACGGAATTCAGAAGCCAGATGTGAATTGAATACCGATGCGACGAAGGCTAGACCAAAAGCGCAGCCATTGGAAGAATGTGATACTCAGGGAAATTGTAAATGTAGACTTCCCGGATATTATTATGAAGCTGCTAGGAAGAAATGTTTAGGTAATCGGGATTACTGTAAATTTGTAAAAGATTCTAAAAAAAAAAGGTTTTCAGACGTCGACGAGTGTGAATCGCTGTCTTCTGGATGCTCTCAAAAGTGTGTCAATCTTCCGGGAACCTTCGAATGTACCTGTGATCAGAGATTCTATAAATTGGCAGCTGATAATAGATCATGTGAGAGGATAGATCAGTGTAAGTTGATTTTCTTTGTAGAAAAAGGGTTTACTTGGAAATTGAAGAGGTGGGTAAGAGGCTGCCGCTCACCCTCCCGCAGAGACAGCGACGGCGCCCCTTTTTCATTGAGTTTAGGTCGCCGTCGCCGCTTTACACGTTTGGCCTAGCGGGTAGTGCCTTTGCCTATCAATCTCAAGACCAAAGTTCAATTCCCACCTAGCCAGTATATTTTTTGTTTTTTGTGAGGAGCTTTGTGAGATAGAGAAAATTATTTTTAAAGCGATTTTAGCTATTTTAAAAAGTTGAAGATTGATTTTCGGGAGTTTTTTTTTGAAATTTTTCTAGATATTCCGGCAATTCAGTTTTTTTTTTGTTTTTTTTAATTTTTTATATTTCTAAATTCTCTAAGAATTTTTCCGAGTTCGTTTTGAAACTAACGAATTTCGTTGTTTTTCTGGACTTGTAACTTTGAGCTAACTTATATCGATTTCTGTGAGATATATCAAAACGTAGTCAACTAACAAAATGTTTATCATAATATCAGAAACATTTTATTAGTTTTTTTTTGATACCTTTTATAGGAAGCGAGATAAATTGGCCTAAAGTCAGCGGTCAATAAGATGTAGCTCAACCTATACCTGCACTTTGTGCTCAATGATCTCGGTTCCTGTAAAAGTTATCAGAAAATGATTAACTGATAAATTGTTTGTAATGTTATGATAAACGTTTTATTAATTGACACCTTTTTGATATCTCTTACAGGAGCCGAGATAAATTGGCTCAAAGTTAGGGAGTCATTCTATTAGACTGTTTGCAGAAACTGCAGGAATTTACTTTTGAGCATTTTCACCAAACTCAAAAAAAATTTCCAGCTCCAATGTGGTTATTCTTTGCACATGGCCAAAGTGTTTGGAACATCTCAACCGATGGAAAATCGTTCCAACTCCAGCGTGCCGGACTTCAAAAGACCGCCATGATCGACATCGATGTCAAGGAAAACCGTTTATATTATGCAGATATTGGAGCGAATGTAATCGAAAGAATGAACATTGAAGGAACATTCCCACAGGCAGTTCAACGATTTGATGTTGATGGTTTAGAAGGAATCGCTGTCGATTGGATTGGAAGAAATTTGTATAGTTTGCGAAGGTTAGTGTTTGAGCTCAATTATCTCAGTTCCTATAAGATATATGAAAAAGTTGTCAACTGATAAAATATTGCTGATAATGAGACAATCATTTAATTAGTTGACAACATTTTAGTATCCCTCTTAGGAACAGAGATAATTGAGCTCAAAAGGGGCAAGAGTGGGCAGCAGGCGCTTGGCAGCGCGCTTTTTAAGCTTAATTATCTCGGTTTCTATTAGTGATATCAAAAAGTGGTCCACTAATAAAATGTTGCTGGTAATGAGATAAACATTTTGTTAGTCAGCAACTTTTTGATATCTCTTACAGAAATCGGGGTAAATTGGTTCAAAGATAAAGTGACCTAACTTTTGCATATTACAGAGAAGACGTGCTGGTGCAAAGTCTAGATGGGCGGTTCCGTCAATCTGTTTATAAAAATGTGATGAAATTGCCAAGATCGATTGCTCTGCTTCCAGCAAAAGGAATCATGTTTGTTACTGATTGGTCGGCGAATGCATTTATCGCTGCTGCTTCTATGGATGGTAAGTGTTGTTAACTTTAATCCCGTATATCTCATTTTTTGTAAGAGTTATCAAAACGTTATCAACTGATACAATGTTTGTCATAATATAAGAAACATTTTGTCTGTTGGCAACTTTTTGATATCTTTCACAGTGTCCGAGATAAAGAGTGCAAGAGTAGGCGGCAGGCTGTCGGTTGCCTAGCCTAGCCGCGCGCACTCTTTATGCTTAATTATCTTGGTTCCTGTAAAAGATATCAAAAAATTGTCAACTAACAAAATGTTTATCGTAATATCACCAATATTTTATCAGTTGGCGTCTTTTTAATATCTTTTACAGGAACCGAGAGAAATTGGCTCAAAGTTGGGGAGTCATTATTATATTGTTTACGGTACCTTGTCTAGTTAATGTTCTAATTTTTCTAGTGAACGCTTTGATTTCTACACCAATTAAAGAAACTCAAATCATGCTACTTGATATTTGAATATAAGTTTTTTTCAGGATCCCACTTCCGTAAAATCGTCACCGAACGCATCACCTGGCCAAATGCAGTTGCCGTCGATGTGTTTGCGGAGAAAATTTACTGGGCTGACGCTTTTCTGGATACTATTGAGTAAGTTTTTCTTGTGTAAAATTTCATGCTCTTTTGAATGCTGTAAAAATCAAATCAATAGCTAAAAAATGAAGCGAGTTATGAGCATTTCCACAACCTGTCATTTTCAGGTCAGCCAACATGGACGGCACTGGTCGTCGCATTATCATTGCTGATGCCGGATCCGTACCCCACGTATTCGGTCTCGCCATTGCCGATGATTTCCTCTATTGGACCGATTGGACGTATCGTGGAATTCTGAGAGCTAATAAGCATAACGGAGAGAATATTACGGTATTGGCGCAGACCGCATTGCTGCCGTACTCGTTGAAAGTGTTCCATAAGACATTGCAACCAGAGGGTAGGATTTTTTGAGGTTTCGAAAAAATATTCATTAAAAGTTGTGTTACATACAAAAAAATGCTTGAAAAACAAAGCAAAAAAATTTCGACCACGGCAGGACTCGAACCTGCAATCCCCAGATTCGAAGTCTGGTGCCTTATCCATTAGGCCACGCGGCCACACACTCCCCTTTGTTCAGAAACGTCAACATGTGCGACTCGCGGCTGCGACCAGTTGTGTTTGTTGGGTGAAAACGGCGCGGCGACCTGTGCGTGTGGAGAGGGTTTCGACCTACAGACAGATGGAAAAAAATGTCGTTCGAATTGTACCGAATCACAAATCGAGTGTGGAGGAGCTGATCCAAAGTGAGTTTCCTGTATAAAACTTGGATCCTACTCATTTTCATATTTTCAGAAAGTTTTGAAAAAAAAGTTTTTTTTTTCAAAAATTTTTTTTTGAAATTTGAAAACTTTTTTTTCTATGTGAATAATTAGATAAGATAATTGATGAACAAATCAGTCTGATGTAAAACTTTATGATCTTTTTAATGGTATAAAAACCAAAACGCTAGCTAAGAAATGAAGACAGTTATGAGCGTTTTTCTGTAACCTGTCACTTAATTAACTCGACTTACCTTTGTTAGTTAATTGAAGTTTAGAAATTAGGACAATTGAAATTCAATTGTATTTAGTCTTGTGTAAAATTTCATTGTCTTTTCAATGGTATAAAAATCAAACATTCAGCTAAAAAACAAACCAAGTTATGACAGCTTTTGTATTACATTGCCTTTTCTAGATCATAAATCTTCTTTAGTCAGCTGACTACAAACTACAAACTACCGTATTTTTTTTAATCATTATCAAACAACCTGGTGTAAAATTTACTGCTCTTTCTAATAATATAAAAATCAAAAGGCAAGCTTAAAAATAAAGCAAGTTATGAGTGTTTTTCTGTAACCTATTACTTAATTTGCTAACTCAACTTTATCACCTAATTAAAGATCAGAAATTCATAAGTTTAAAAATTTCAATTTTATATAAACTTATGTAAAATTTTATTGTCTTTTTGATGGTATTAATTCATAAGTCTAGCTAAAAAATGAATTAAGTAATGAAACATCTTTCAGGTGCATCTCAAAAATCTATCTTTGTGATGGCTTGGCTCAGTGCTCGAATCAAGCGGATGAATTGAAATGTCGTGAGTGTTTTTATGGATTTTTATGTAAAATAATACGTTCTTTCGAATGGTGTAAAAATCAAATTTCTGGGTTGAAAATGAAGAAAGTTATGAGCATTTTTCAGAAACCTAAGCGTAGTTTTGTACTAACTTTGTTGCCCAATTAAAATTGAGGAACTTTTTGAAAATGCAATTGTGGTTTACAGTAATATGTAACATTCTATGCTCTTTCCAGTGGTATAAAAACTAGAAAGCTAGCTGAAAAACTAACCAAGTTATGATTGCTTTTGTAGTTCTTACCTGTTCTAGTTCTTAAGTGTACTGTCAGTTAGGACTACAAACACTACAAACTACAGTGACGTTTTTTAGCTACACAGTGTTGTGTAAAATTTTATGTTCTGTCAAATGATTAAAGAAAAATAAGAAGCCAGCTAAAAAATGAATCAAATTATGATCGTTTTTGTAGTACCTACCGTTTCTAGTTCTTTAGTCACCTGACTACAAACTACAAATTGTTATTAATCTTTTAGTTAAATAATCCCGATGTAAAATTTTATGCTCTTTCGAATGATATAAAAATCAAACCCGCTAGCTAAAACACACACCAAGTTATGATTGCTTTCGTAGTACTTATATTTTCTAGTTCTCAAATGTGCTTTAAGAAGCTAACTACAAAGACTACAAACTGCAGTTCATTTTTTTTCATAACAACAGTTTTGTGTAGAATCTCATGTTCTTTCAAATGGTAAAAAAACCAAAAAGCTAGCTAAAATATGAAGAAAGTTATGCGCCTTTTAAGGCTTACAGTTCAAACTTTGAAAATTTTTCAGCTCCTCGAATCTGTCTTCCCGGGCAATTCCAATGCCATGACAATCGAAAGTGTCTACCACCAGGTGGTCTTTGTGATGACGTCGCAGATTGTGCAGATTCCTCAGATGAGCTGTACTGTCCGCATAAAACAACGCCACGCGGAGAATTCGTTTTGAATTCGCCGACGTCGTCAAGGAAGGAGAGAAGTGCTGATTATCAGGATAATCATTTGTAATTATTCAATTAATAATTTTTTTCTGTTTCATTTTTTTTCATTTTCTCAGGTCTCAATGCTATATTTTTTCTCGAAATAATACAATTTTATAATTTTAAAATCTTCCATTTTTCTGAGTTTCTGAATTTCTGAATTGCAATCTCTAATCGAGAATCTATTACTGTTGGATTCTAGGAGTTTCTAAAGTGAGAATCGGAAAATTTCTCAGCTTCTCGTTCTGAAAGTGCAAACAAAAGCTTCATTCAAAAAGAATCGTTTCAAGAGTTTCAGAATCAAAGTAAGAATAAAGAAGATTAAAACATTGGCTGGCTACTTCTCCACCGCAATATCGAAACGTCCGACAAAGGTTCTTCAACAAGTCTTCTATTTTCTCTTTCTGTTTATTATCGAAAGTGGCAGATTTTGTACAACGAAGTATTTGATCTACAAGCCCTTCCGCGCGGTTCCGTTGTTCCGAGCTCAGCCGATCACCGTACTTTTCGAGTGCCCGTTTCACTTGATACACGTGATCTACAAACGCGTCTATGGCATTCGCCTTGTCTATTCGTTGAGCATCCTCTTTTTCAAACTGTTTAGCTTCTTGGACCATTCGATCAATATCTGCCTGCGATAGTCTTCCCTTTTCATATTGGATAATAATACTATTTGAACTACCAGAACCCCTATCTTTAGCAGTGACATTCAGAATCCCATTTGCATCGATATCAAAAGTCACATCAATTGTCGGAGTTCCCCGTGGCACTGGTGGGATTCCACAGAGCTTGAAATATCCGAGTTTATGGTTGTCTTCAATCATAGCTCGTTCTCCTTCGTAGACGTAGATGTCCACACCTGTTTGATTGTCATAAACTGTCTTGTACGTCTTGGTAGCATTTGCTGGGATACGTGTATTACGATTGATAACATTGCTCATTCGTCCTCCAACAACATCGGTTCCCAAACTCAGAGGAGTCACGTCATAGAGGACGACGTCCTTGATGGTGTCATCTCTGACTCCAGAGAGGACTGCAGCTTGAACGGCAGCTCCGAAAGCAACCGCTTCATCTGGGTTGATAGAGCAGTTGAGTTCCTGGAAACCTTCATTCGAAATAGCCTAGAGCAATCGCCAAAAACTTACCTTCCCATTAAAGAAGTCTCTGAGCAACTTCTGAATCTTCGGCACCTTCGACGATCCTCCCACCAACACAATCTCATCAATCTTGGTTTTATCTATCTCGCTATCCTTCAACGCCCTCTCCACAGGCTCCAACGTCTTCTGGAACAAATCAGCGCAGAGTTCCTCAAATTTGGCTCGAGTGATTTTCGATTTGAAATCGATACCATCAACCAGCGACTCAACTTCTACAGTAGCATCGGTTTTGCTAGACAACGTGCGCTTGGCATGCTCACAGGCGTCGCGAAGACGACGAATGGCGCGTGGATTCTCAGAAATGTCTTTTCCAGCCTTTTTCTTGAATTCTGTGATAAAGTGTTCAACTAGTCTGGAATCAAAGTCCTCTCCTCCAAGCCAGTTCTTAATGTCATGTTGGACGGTTTCATCGTCGAAACGACGTCCGATAAGACGTTTTGCGTTGGAAACTGTGTTTTCTGGATTACGAGACGCTTGATCCTTGGCAGCGTCACCAATAAGTCGTTCAGTTTCATTGAATGCCACATAGGATGGTGTGGTTCGGTTTCCTTCGAAATTTGCAATGATTTCGATCTGAAAACCAGGGGAATTGAAGATGAGACCCTCAAGACACACCTTTCCATTCTGATAAACCCCAACACATGAGTTTGTAGTTCCCAAATCGATTCCAATCGATCTGCTTGAAGATATATTAACACCTGATGACCATTCTCTGAAATCGATCATTTTCTAAATATAAGACTGAAAAAAAGAACTACAGCTGAGTCAAGGCTTGCTTCAAGTCTCCAATGATATCCTCGACGTTTTCGATGCCAACACTGTAATTTGAAAATTTTGGATTTCGAAAAAGATTCCAAAAAACTTCTAGAAACTTTTCTCACCTGAATCTCAAAAGTCCTGGAGCCACCGATGGTCCGTTCTCATCCCGAAGAAGTTGTTTGCCATGAGACATTGATAATGGATGCTCGATTAGAGATTCAGTACCACCCAATGATACAGCATGGACGATGAGTTTCAAGGACTGCAACAAGTACGCTTTAATCAAACTTTTTTATCTTGGCTAGATGAAAAAATACAGAGAAGTTGTCAACTACAAAAACGTAGTTATAGTTTTGAGCGATACAGTAATCAAATTTGAGCTCAATTCCCCTGGTTTTCAGATCGAAATCATCGCAAATTTCGAAGGAAACCGAATCACTCCATCCTATTTGGCATTCAATGAAACTGAACGACTTATTGGTGACGCTGCCAAGGATCAAGCGTCTCGTAATCCAGAAAACACAGTTTCCAACG